AACACACTCGGACTTTAACGATAATATTTTTTTATGTACTTTAACCTTAGATTTTCATAAAATGGACATTTGAGAATAAAATGAAACTCATCTTCAATGTCGCCTAAATTGCATCTAGTACACAGTCGATTATGACGGATTATATTATTCCGCCTCCCGACCTCAATATTTAAACTGTGAGAGGACAGTCTATAGCGAGTAATTTGACGCTTGAATTTTGATTGGATTGGCTTATACAATTACGCAAATAAAACTGTAAGTCGACATTGTCTATCAGGTGTTGATATAATTACCCCTTTGAAGAATTTGAAATATTTGTTAACATACTTTGTCGTGAAACATCGAGCAATCTTTGTTCTATAATCTTTGCCGCAATATTAATAGGTAAGTTTTCCTCAAAGATATACTCCAAACCCATACTAGCTAATTCTTGCCTAATATTAATTAACCAGTCATCATTACCACTTATACGCTCGTCATAGCAAGCTTTTAATATACAGTTATCGCTACATTTCACTTTTAACCAGTATTTAAAAATCCTCAGTTTCCTTTGGACTATATGGGGGAATCTACCAAGTTCACAATAAACCAGATCATTATTAGTGCATTGTCTGACTCCTAGAATTTTTTTACAAAAATTTAAATGAACTTTATTTACATCAGGTGCTTTGTGAAATCCCCAGATTTCTGAGGCATAGCACAAAATACTGTTTACATAAGAGTCAAAAATAGTACACTGAGTTTCAATATTAAAACAATAATTGCGTAACGAAGATGCTAAGGCGAACAGTGCCTTTCTTCCTTGATCAGCCACATGCTTCTGTGTTTTAAGAAATTTTCCATTATAATGAAAAAGCATACCTAGATATTTGAATTCATCCACGATATCAATGTTTGTATCTTTATAAGACCACGTTTCATTATTTCGTAAGTTACCACCATTTCTAAAAACAACTATTTTGGTTTTAGATATGTTGACTTCCAGATCCCATGTGTTACAATAATCCTGTAGGGAGTCCAGCATAGATTGGAGACCTTCTGGTGTTTCTGATAGCAGCACCATGTCATCTGCATACATTATCAAAAATAGGTTTATAAGTTGCAGTTCTACACTTGGACAATTGTCTTTTATGAAATTGATCTCAAAATCATTAACATATAAGGAAAATAAAACTGGTGACAGTACTTCGCCCTGTAAAAGTCCAATCTTGTTGCAAAAACTATCACTTAGGACTCCATTATACTTTACACATGATTTAACATTATTATATAGGTCAATCAAAATTTGAAGGAATTTACCTCTGATACCACAATTGATCATTTTACACCATAACTTGCTTCTATTAACAAAATCAAAAGCTTTTTTAAAGTCTACAAAACAGCAGTACAAACGCTTTTTCTTTTTTAGGGACTTATTTATAAGGGTTGTTAAAACAAAAATGGCGTCAGTGGTTGACATTCCAGGTCTGAAACCAAACTGTGCGTCAGTTAGAATACCATACTTTTTTTCCCAATTTAATATTCTGGTATTTAAAACGCCCGTAAAAACTTTTCCAAAACAACTAACTAACGAAATGCCACGATAATTATTGGTGTCATTTAAGTTGCCCTTTTTGTGAATTGGAACAATACAAGCTTTGCACCATGCTTCTGGGAAATGCCCAGACTTAAAAATCACATTGAACAATTTTTCCATACAAGGCAACAAAATATCTTTTCCTTTAATAAAAATTTCATTGATTATTAAGTCCTCACTGCAACTTTTGTTGTTTTTTAGATTGTTTATGACTTTTAATATTTCATCTTTATCAATATCTTTGTCTAATTCATCGTAGATGGCCTCGTCGATATTAGGTTCGCTGTCATCTTCATCACTATTATTACTCATTGTTAGATTTTTAAAATAAGTATAAAAATCTTCGTTTGATAAACTTGAATTTGCCCATTGGCTTGATTTGCTTTTAAATAGTTTGTGGAACTTCTTGGGGTTCGATTTTTTTAAAATTTCCAGCATGTCACCTTCGTGTCGTTTGTATTGACGTTTCAGCTTTAACTCCATTTTCTTGTAAGAACGTTTCGAAGTGATCAATATGTGATGGTTATCATCAGATTTACAATGATTAAATTCCGACAATGACCGCTTATATTTATTATACAATGTTTTACAATTTTCTGTAATCCATGGTTTATCGGTTTGGTGATTTACATTTTTACGGCTATTTACATTAATAGATGCGTTTACCCTCACATCACAAAATGGCAAAGAACAATCATTTATAATCTTGCATATATCATTTACACAATTGTTAACATCCTCGTGACTAGCAAAAGTCACGTCTAGTTTATCGTTGATCAGTTCAATATTGTCTTGGAGACTCTCTAAGACCAAAGCAGTATTTGTATTATTCCATTTGACAGTTTTACATGGTGTCTTTTCATTATCAAAATCAAGGGATGTTTTGTTACTCGGATTAATACATTTTAAATGCAAGTGAAAAGAGACCGGGGAATGGTCAGAAAAGTATTGAACTGACCAGAGATAAATTTATGTACGCTAGACATATCATATTTATACACATCAACAAGCAAATAATCAATTAGGCTTCTGCCGTTTGAGTTATAAAATGTGAAACTTCCGTGCTCATCATTAGGGTGGCGTCCATTTAGGATACGAAGACCCGATGATTTGCATAAATCGATAAGGTAAATGTCAATGTTACGACGTATGGTCATGGCAAATGCCGATATAACGATATACGATCAAGGTAAATGCCAAAGAAACGACATATGGTCAGGGTAAATGTCAATGTAACGAGGTATGGTCAGGGTAAATGTTAGGGTAACGACGAAGAGTCAAGGTCAATGTCAATGTAACGTCGTACGGTCAAGGTTAATGTTAAGCTAACGACGTACTATCAAGGTAAATGTAAAGGTAACAAAGTATGGTCAAGGTAAATGTTAGGGTTACGAGGTACGGTCAAGGTTAATGTTAAGGTAACGACGTAAGGTTAATCTTAATGTTAGGTTATAACGATGTATGGTCAAGGTAAAGGTAGGATAACGGCGTACGGTCAAGGTATAAATGTTAAGGTTACGACGTAATTACGGTCAAGGTTAACTCACCGTTGTCGACATCATGTCATTAGTCTACGACTGCTATTGGCGCATCCTTTGATGTTACTGATACACACTAAAAGGTTAATGTTAGGTAACGACTTATGGTCTAGGTTCATTTCAGGTAACGGCGTGCAGTCAAGGTTAATGTTAGGTAACGACGCATGGTCAAGGTAAATTTTAAGGCAACGACGTGTGGTCAGGGTAAATACCAATGACACGACATATGGTCAAGTTAAATATCAATGTTATGGCGTACGGTCAAAGTAAATGTTAAGATAACTACGTCTGGTTAAGGTAAATGTTAATGTAACGACGTCTGGTCAAGGTTAATGTTAGGTAACGACCTACGGTAACACTGTAATTGTCGATGTAACAATGTAACTATTGTGTTAACACGGTCGCTGTCAATGTAACACTGTAATTGTCAATGTAACATGGTAACTGTCAACGGAGCACGGTCGCTGTCAATGTAACACTGTAATTGTCAATGAAACATGGTAAATGTCAACGGAGCACGGTCGCTGTCAATGTAACACTGTAATTGTCAATGCAACATGATAACTGTCAACGGAGCACGGTAGCTGTCAAGGCAACACTGTAATTTTCAATGTTACATGGTAACTGTCAACGGAGCACAGTAGATGTCAAGGTTACACTGTAATTTTCAATGTTACATGGTAACTGTTAACTTATAATTAGCACGGTAACTGTAAACGTAACATTGCCATTCTGTTCTGTTCTGTCGTTGGTAGATTCCTCCGATTGGTTTGCGGAGCACCCAGGGATTACACTAATCACTGGTATAAAAGTTGAAGGCACTTCCGAATCAAAGTCACGTGTTCAATATTACACTCGGTAGTTCTACAATGTCAGGTGACACATAGCTTGTGCTAAAACGTTATACAGAAAGAAAAAAATAGTTTAGAAAAACAGTGTATTCACAGGTTGCTGTTTGCCAACTCTCTACTCCTTGTACAGTGTATCTTCCAGATGAACTGTCTGGATATCAACTCAATCTTCTCTATGTCATCATGAGAAAAATATTGAGTTCCGAACCGGATAGCTGAACAGTCAAGTATAATCTGGGTAAAAGTTCCTTGATCACTTAATAGCTCATCACTGGAGTTGTTAGTATATCTTGCGATAATGTTGCTCAGTTATGACTTATATATGTCTCTCTGAGGTTTTGTATGGATGCAATTAATGATAAAATGTTCCCTGGTCTCTGGTTCTGCCTTACATATTTTACAGGTTGGATCAACAGTGTGTTGGTTGGTAACAGCTCTATCCGACTGCAGCGTGTATATATGTTCCAGTGAGCAATTTAGCTTTTATCTCAGCGTGCTGTACATCAATGTTATTAATACAAAATGCGTTATGTGGTTCTAAGTAGAATTCATTAACACCCTTTTTATGAGTAAAATTGGTCAAGTGTTATTTGCCATTAACATATATGGGACATGACAATCAAAATAAATCGTAATACATTGAGGTGAGTACTAATCACAAGGATTGTAACATTTCTAACTGGTTTGTTATGTCATATTTTAATCAGCAAATCGCGTGTTAGTCCCCTTCCCTCACATCATTTACAAATGTCCATTTGCGACCAATCAAAAAAAAAATGCCGTTTGAGTTTCCCTTCCATTTTGAGTACTAACCAGACATCGCCATCACAACCAGGTTGTCCACAAATGTTGAAATTTTATTAACCAAAAGATAATAAAACCTTATAAAAGTTACCTCGTTTTGAATGTCCAACCTTTAACTGTTAATTAACGTATCGCAAAAATAAATAAATAAAAGATAATCAAACAAATAAACTAACAATAATAGAAATCCGGACAAAACGGTCCCTTTCCGTCATCTGGTGGAATATTACACTCTTCCGGAAGTTATCTCCCTTTTCACAAGTTTCAACCGGACGATAAGCATGGCAGGCAAGCAACAACAAATCGACGTTTCCCAGTTACCAGCGCCTCAGCTGAATCAGTTGACACAACAGTTAGATCAGGTACGAACTATTTCTTATGCTGTCATTCATTTGTCCGTCTAACTTTTGAGCTGAGTGGTATTCGCGATTTAGAACTCGCGACCACAGGTCCGGGGACCCTGTCAACATGAGTCAAGATACTGACAAAATCATACAACTACAAGCAGATAGTTTATCTTAGTTTATCTGTTTATAGTAATAGTTGTACCATGCGTCATATTCCCTTCCTATATACTTATATATCACAAGTTATCAAACACGAGAATGATCTTTTCCCAATAAATGAAGCCCTTGGTTACGACAAGAGTACGAATAATTGGCTATAGAAATATTGAAATGAATGGCTCTTAATATTAACAAGAACCCGCTTCTTTTTATCAAATTACAATCGACACTTATGTAAAGGGTCCTTTGTGGTTGATAATATGACAATGCTGTATATCTTGCTAATTAAAATCAAGGAGTAATTAACTACTGAAATATATCTCCTATCCTCTGTCTCTTCTTCCAATGATCCCTTGATACTGGTCACGTTCCATCTGACTGGAGGACAGCATATATTGCTGCTGTATATAAGAAAGGCCCAAAATTCAATCCAGATAATTACCATCCAATATCCCTTGCAGGTATCTGTTGCAAACTATTAGAGCACATCATTGTCAGTAACATCATGAACCATGCACATGCAAATACACATCAGATCCTATGTTATAGGGGGCGAAGTTAACACCTGGATCATAAGCTTCCTAAGTAACAGGACTCAATCGGTAATTGTTGAAGCGGAAAAATCCAACACTGCCCCAGTAGGATCAGGGGTCCCCCCAATATTAGGTTCAGTCCTGGGGCCGAACCTTTTTCTTTACTGGGGGCATTTCATCGTACATTAGGCTCTCTGCAGATGATACCATTATGTATCTCGCAGTAACATCAGATAGAGATGTACAATCCCTGCAAAGAGACCTTGACAGACTTGGTCATTGGGAGAGGAGTGGAAGATGGCGTTACATCCTGACAAATGTCTGGTCCTTTCTATCTCTAGAAAACGAAACCCCATTGTCCACTCGTATACACTTCATGAACACGAACTCCAACATGTGTCAGAATCCAAATACCTGGGTGTCGCCATCAGATCAGATATGAATTGGGTGTCCCACACCAGTAATATAACTAGAATCTAAAGCCAATAATATATATATACTACCATGATCAAGCTTCCTCAGGCGAAATCTAAAGATATCATCTTCTGACATCAGAGAAAAGGCATATAAATCCTTACATGGCTGATTAGCTATTGGTTGGATTTTTGATTTTCTTAATAAGTTTACATAGATAAGACCAGGACTTAAACAATATACTACATGTGGTAGGTATCCAATTCACAAGTTACCATGATAATTTATATTATGATGTCAAAATGGGACTGATTTTCTTTTACAAATGGGCATACAAATGTCACCACAACTTGGAACAATGCCTTACAGTACAAAGAGACATACCTTGATGATAAGGATTTACTGATCATCCCTTTTAAATACATATAAACATATAATATTAAACTGTTTAAATTTTAATATATTTAATAAATATAATATTTGATAAATGGAATGACAACCTGCAATTTAGCCTGTAATGAAAATGTGACATATCAATTTTTACCCCCTTCTCTTTTGCAGCTTTTTCTATTTAATACTTTAAAGATGATTTGTTACAAATAACTTGTTGATTTTGTTTACAGGAGATAGAGTTCTTTTCAAACTCTATGAATCAGCTGAAATTGGCTCAAGGAAAGTTTGTCGAGTCCCAGGAGTGTTTGAACAAAGTCAGCCCTGACAATCTAAGTAAAGACATCTTAGTGCCTCTCACCAGCTCGGTATCCTTTATTGACTCTCAATTGTTATGCTTTTACACTAGAAAGTAACATGTTGTTAATATTTATTTTCAGTTGAAAAAGTTAATACAATGAAAGTACACCAGGTACTTGAAATTGCATTTGATAACCATTGTCTTGCTGGATATTTTTCTTGTTACATACTGAAAGTAAAGTTCATTCATTAACAAACCAGTGTTAAGCTTGAGTTTAATAGAAACTTTCATGACACTTAAAGTTCAGGACACTATATGTACCGTTTTAGGTTATCTTAATATGACAATTGGATAAACTACTAACAGATTTTTTAGTCAATAAGACATCTGACTCTATCAGTTGGCAAATTACTGGAGACAAGAGCAAGTTTCAGAAGAATCTTCCTATCAGCTAGTGTATACCGGTACATCTTACTCATTTAGGCTAGTGTATACCGGTACATCTTACTCATTTAGATTAAACAAACACTTTCAGATTTCAGCAATATTATGAACATCCTTACCAAGCTCCAATTTTCTATTGGACCAAAAAACATTATGTGTGTTTTAATCATCCTCATGAGCTACCCGAGATTTTCAAGTCAGCCCTAGAACATTTGATCACCTATTTGTATCCAAGATTAATTTGTTACAATTATCCAGGTAAAACCCACAGTCACTGATTTAAGTGAACTTTCTTACTGTTTCATTTTGTGAGCCTGACCCCATTCTCGACAGCTTAATAGCCACCTTCATGTGTAGAAATGCTTTGTAAAATTTGATACAAAGCATAATATTGATCTATGAAAAAGATAAAATAAAGTAATTTGCCTATCAGTTACAACAAACATACATAATTTAGTTTTTCTTAAATTTTCATCAATGTTTTACAAACTTAATGTTTGCACAAGTCCCCTTCCAATGATATGGATTACCTTAAGTCATTATAATCAAATGCCAGCTTGCAATGTTTAGTATCTATTTTCTGCAAATGCTTCTAATAGAAGCTTGTAGACCTAGAGCCTTCTTGATTTTGACAACCATTTTGCACCAATGTGTGCAAATTTCATCTCCTTTTCCAACCTACAATGTGTGTTAGAGTCCACACGTATTTGCTCTAGGCTAAAAGTGCAGTTTCAGATATCTGCTGTAGTGTGGCACATCTAGATTGTATCAAATGAAATCTTGCACTGACCATAGATATTATCAGAAATCAACAAACACAATGTAATTGTATATGGCCTTATATGATCATCATTAAAAGGCAGTAGTAAACTTGACAAAGATTGTTCTAAAGAATGTCTTTTATTACCAGTATGTTAAAAGATAAAAACATACGATTTAAAAAAAGAGAAGGAAAGTTTATTTTTTATTTTTCTTTATACTGACTTTTTGTATTATCGAGATTAAAGATAAATACAGGTGATTAAAAAAAAGGAAAAAATGTCTGTTCTTCATCCTAACTGAACTAAGAATGCAAACAATTAAGTTGATAATATATGGATACTCATTTAGAAATATACCAAATTATTAATTTTCCCTTTCAATATCAAATTGTGTATTTAGTAAGAAAAAATGCATATGTGTACTTTTAAAAACTGACTCATAACATGGTATGAATTGGTTGTGACCTCTGGACCAGTTACTAGTCAATCTTTGACAGATAAAAAAATATAGGGTTGATGATTAGACCCCTTATTTATTTAACATTTAAGGATTAGACTAGATGATTAATTTATTGGTATTTTACTGATGTATAGACTGAAATGGTGAAGTGGTATATGTAAAAATGCACTTTGGTTTTTGGTCTATGCAGCAATAGAACAATTTCTTATCCTGTCCAATCCTCATAGTATAACTCTAAAATCAGAATGCATTTTTTTTGTACAAAATGTATGTCATTTTCATTCATATAATTTGCATGCTATGATGTGCCAATCAAGTGAAGTCAGATCTAGAGCTTTCAACAGGCTTATTTTCATGTCCTGTCTGAAAATAAATATGCTAATAAGGCCATGCATAGATCCATGTCATCTATTCTAACATCTAGTATAATGCTCAAATTTCCAATATCAAAAATATCAAAAGATGTGTTTGCAGAAAATTAGTAAAGTGCAACAAAATAAGAAGCTCTTCGTGTATGATGTCATCAAAATATGTTCTTTTATTTTTCGGCCTATCACTTGATAGACTGTAAACACAATCCAATAAAAGGTGTGTTACAAACCTATTCAGTGATTTTGTGATTGCCAACAATAAAAATATATGATCTGTTACAGAGTTAATCTTCTAGCTAGAACATAATTACCATAACACTTGTATAATTAGAACACTTAATCAGCATCTATGTAAATTATGCAAAACAAGTGTTAGGTTGAAGAAAGTATATTTTGTTAAATTTTGTCATCATTCAAGGGTTTCCAGAGGACCCTGAAAATTTGAAATTATGTTGTAATTGTTTGTAAAAGCAACATTGTATCAGTACAATATACAAAAACCAAAGTCTTTCTGGTTTCTTTATCGCTGATTAAAAAATCTATTATGGTAAAATAGAAAAAAGAAAAAATACAGAACCTCTCAGATTTTGACCATCTTTTTATTGATGGGATTTGATCTCATTTGGAATCTTTGTATAGGTGCAGAAATGTTTGTGTTGGCAACTCTTTTGATGTATCAAAATGTTTCTACATACATACTATTGGACTGATCCATCAGTGTTAAGGTAAAGGTACCAAAATGTTATATTATTACCATTGTTTATACTGTGAAGTTCTTGTTTATGGTTTTCAAAAGAAGTATTTCATGAAAAATCATGTTACGCTGCATTTTATAAAATGAAAGTGGTGATAAAATATGAACTGTTAAACTAAATATTAGTTTTTAAAAAAAAGAATGAAAAACAGCAGAGGTTGAACTCGGGACATTTGCACTGCCAAGTCTAAGTTTACCAATGTTGCTATCGGGGAATTATAAATGCAGTGTCAAAATAAGATTCCAATTTATGGGCTAAAGGCCTGTGGAAAAAAAAGATACCTACCTTGACAGGGGAAGTAACTCTGTAACTCTAAAAAGTTCTTTTGGTTATTTCATCTTATACATGTATACATGTATATAAAAGGGAGAACACTCCAAATAAAAAAATACTCCTGAGTGGAGCTCTTCTTTGTTATGACTGATGCAGTGGTACCCTTTACCTTAATACAAAATAAATCAGATATATAGGATGTATTATCTTGTATATATTGTAACACAAATGAAAACGAAAATAAAAAAAAATGTTTTTATTTTTCATTTGATGTTGGTATTTATTGAATGACAATTTAACCAAATAAGATTTTGACACTAGTCTTATTTCTTCTCTTTTGGAGGATTATATAAGGTTTTGAAAAAAGTTATGTCCTTGACAAAATCAACAGATGTATGTTCCTGGGCAGTTGAGTGATGTTCAAAATGTGTTGGTGGACATTGGAACTGGGTACTATGTAGAAATGGTAAGTAAATTATGCATATTCAATGTATGGATGGTTACATGAGTTGGTGGAACTTTGTGTATGGACAATAATATGATAAGATAGAGTTAAGTACTAGGTAGAGAGTTGATCAACAGCATACATTTGATTTTTGCAATAACATCTTGATTAAAAGTAGATTCATAACCTGAGTTTCAGACTACTCTTTTCATAGAAATAATGAATAAACAGTTAAGTTCTACAAGTAGATCTATATTTCATCATTTCAAACTAAGAATTTTATTAATTCATTAATCAGACACTGATGCTTGGCTTACTTTATTAGCTCTCCTTCCTGAAGGGCAAGTGAGCTTATGCCGTGGCGCAGCGTCCGTTGTTGTCATCCATCGTCAACTTTTTCTTTAAAACCTATCTCCTCCTAAACGCCGAAGAGGATTTCAACCAAATTTAGTCTGAAGCATCACTAGGGGAGGGCAATCATTTCTTAAATAAATGTGGTTGGTTCAACCCTAAGGCCAGGGGGGCGGGGCCCTGAAGGGGAACTTAGCTAAATTTGCTTTAAAACGCATCTCCTCCTAAACTCCAGAGAGGATTTCAACCAAATTTAGTCTGAAGCATCACTAGGGGAGGGCAATCATTTCTTAAATAAATGAGGTTGGTTTGACCTCTGAGGCCGGGGGGGGGGGGGCTGAAGGTGAACTTAGCTATATTTGCTTTAAAAACACATCTCCTCCTGAACGCCAGAGAAGATTTTAACCAAAGTTGCTCTGAAACTTCATTGGGGGAGGGCAATCATTTCCTTAATAAATGAGACGGGTTCGACCCCTGGGGCTAGGAAGACCGGGCCCCAAAGAGGAAAATTATCTAAAATTTTGCCTTAAGACGCTTATATCCCCTAATTGCCTGCAAACATTTCTCAATTGAATGAGGTTGATTTGAACCCTAGGCCTGCGGTCCTAAGAAATGGTACAGCTAGATTATCATATTCTATGGTGTAGTTTTTATAAATTGTTAAAAATTGGTTTCTAGGTTTTTAAAAGCTGATAGTTGAATGAAAATTAAAGTATTGTCTAATTACCCCCTGTAATATGACATATAACTTATTTCAAAATCTGTTAACATGGCAACTCAATGGAGGCCCCTGATTAGTTGAAAGTCAGATATTGTGGTCCCAGTTGGGTTAGAACATGGATCTTGTCTGGATTTGAGAAAATTTCATATAAAGATGTACTAATGCATTCAGTTGTAATGACTTAAATATAAAATCAGGTGAGCGATAAAGGTCCAGTGGACCTCTTGTTATTATATATTCAGTCTTAATTGTGGTCATTAGCTCAGAGTTTACAGAATCAACTGTCTTATTTGAAACTTTTTTAATGGAAAATACATGTTATGATAAGGCATGGTAGCATATCCCTGAATGTGCCTTTTATAGCTTACAAGGTATCAGTGCTGATGTTGACTCAACTATTATGCTGTGATATTACGGGTTTAAATGGTAACATGTGGCAGGGTTAAAATCTTCAGTGTGTATAGTAAGTTTTAATTCTAAGGGTTGTATTATTTTAAGCATCACTTAATATCATCATCATAAGCATCATCATCAGCACATCACCTGCCACAAACATAAAAAGTATGAGATGTTATTAATCATAGAATAATTTATTACAGCTTCCAATACGATGGTCCATCATTTTATATAAAAGTTTCAACATTGAACACAAGCCACTATCCTAGCTTTATGCTCCGTCATGTAAGATAGTTATGTATGAGTCATGGTAAATTGTTTACATATGATAATAACAATATGTGGAATTGACAACTAAGTTTCAAAATATTACAATTAGTAAACAACCTTCGACACCAATCTGTATATTTTGATGAAATGTATGAATGATGTTTTTTCATTACTTATGGCTGAGGTTGTATACAGTTACTGGTGCAGTATAGAACTTGTGTGTATTGTAGGAAGTGAGCAAAGGAAAGCAATACTTTAAAAGAAAAGTAGAGTACATTACAAAACAGATGGAAAAGATCCAGCCTGTTTTACAAGAGAAATACAGGATGAAACAAGGTAGATATTTAATAAATATTTTATCCTTTGAGAATATAATATGTTGCTGTATTAGGCTTAAGGAATTTATTTATCATTTGATTTGGTTTACTTACTAGAATGTATTTGTTTCTCATTGAAAGGGAATGAAGAAATTCCCATTATATTTAGATTTCATGAAACTTGCTTCATAACTTGTTTGAGATCCTTTATATCTTGCTGAGTTACAATGTATTTTTTTTGTCAGATTTTCTTTTAGATTTCTTATAAGGAATAAATGTATATGTACCCGCACATGCTTAAAAGATGAAAAAATAGCTAAAAGCTGCTTAAAAGTATTGTTGAACAGAAAAACAATTGCTGCAGGATTTATCATAAGGATTTTTTTGCTAACAAACACAATATCTGTTTGAACCTGTTTCTCTTTCTTACAGCCACTGTGGAGATTCTTCAGAGCAAAATCCAGGCGATGAGTCTACAACAGCAAGGTGCAGCTGCAAAAGCCTGAGACTAGTGACATCCCATCCTTATGTGTCATTCTGTCTGTTGTCTGTCCTCCCTGTCCATTTGCTTTGTGACTCATTTTGTATATAACGAAACTTTATATAAAATATGCCATGTTGTATGCTCAAATGGAGTTCAAGTTTTCATTCTCATAGGATATTCATTTGCTTGGCTGTCATCTTTACAGTCAGTGATGGTAAGGCATATGGTCGATGAAAACAAATAAAGGGCTATGCTTTGAGAGGCTGGTAGGGAATAATTTAAACTGTTTGCCAATGCCATCAGAATTCTGAAAAAATTCGGCTGATGAAAAGACACCATGCTTTCTTGGTAATTTTGTATTGTCTAGGCTTTTAGGAGTCATGAATGTTCAAATTTGACAAGTCTCAGCCATGTACTGGATGTATGTGTACCTTATAGATAAAAGTGTTCAGATGAAGACATTTCTAGCTCACCAGCAATTTACCAGAATGTTGCTGACCTCTTGCATCACCTTTTCAATAGTTCAACTCATAGAAATCTGTCCACTTCAGTATTCTGTGAGTGGAGATACGATTTGTACTTCAGTTCACTTCAGGCTCTGCTGAGGTTACTTACATATACAGTATACATCTGATTAGTCTGTTGTCTCAATTGTGTGACCTTGAAACATTAGGGTGTGTACAAAATATACAAGTGACTATCAGTTTCTTTTCATAGTACCAGTAAAATCAAGTTTAAATGATAAATACACAATAATCAAATACAGTTTTGCACATGGTATGGGCCTTGGTAAGAAAACTGTTGTAAATGTCACATGTAGTCTAATGTCACTTGTAAACCTACATCATGTGTTTAATTAACAAACAAAAAAAGACAAGTTTTATTCACTTGTGTTAATAAACTCAAAATATTTAAAGTCGAATCGTCTTATGTCTTTCTACCATACAAGTCTGATGGCCATGATGCAGTTTACAAGAGAGACGGAAGTTTTGATCGAATCAAAACGGAATTGCATTATTTGGTATACGATATTATTTCGCATTTTACTTGAACATTGTAAGTATAACAGCAGGAAAATCATGGTAATACTAGTACTGCTTTAAAGACTATAGAAAGGGGACTTGTCCGTAGATCATTACCTCGTCAGCCTCTGGTAATGTATAACATGATATTTAGAGTATATCAGATTTAGGTGCTGTAAACATCCGAGTTTGTCAACTTCTAGATGACCGATAAAAGCCAATAAAAAAACCCACCTATTATTGTGCTTATTTACAATGTAGTGTCATACATTGGAGACTTTATACATTATGTAACTTATAATATGGAGAGAGAAAAGAAAACAACAACCATAAACAGATTCCGGATTTTTAGATAATGTAGACATACATGTATCGCAACCAAACGTTTACCAGGTAACTATAGTATTGTTAAAAAAGTAAGGGAAGATATGTTAAGGCTTATCGATAATATCCCAAAAAATATTTGACCGCTAACCCGGGTACATTTATATATAGCTTAACGCGTTTTAGGTACATAGTTCCAGTATTCATGTTACGACAGCTTTGCGAGGACGTATAACCCATATAAAGAAACCAATCAAACAAAAGTACAAAAACGTGGACACGCAGGTGAGCAAACCAGTATGAAATAATTATTGTTTATCAAGTGACGCAAGATAATGTCGTTGGAAGGATAGTAGTTTAATATAAACATTTCAACAACTCATTTCAATAAACTAGTTACAGTCCCTGGCACAGAATCATGATGCTCGTTTATACGCATTGTGGAGCGAAACATGACGGATTAATTTTTAACGGAGGATATACAACATACTTCGATAAAAAAAAACAACCTTTAAAAATTGGTCCGTGCATGCTAGACATTAGTTATTCAAGTTTTGTCAGCACTTCCTTTGTATAATGTATTTTTTCTATCTATCTTTTTGCAAAAGGTTGGTTCATTCAATAAACAAACAAAAAATTGACTCTTATTTCATATACATTGTACATCTGCATGCTACAGTGAAATCCGTTGATGATATTTCATACCTTATTCCTGAGGTTTATTTCACACGAAGAAACACGTGCATTGACTTATGACTGACAGCTTGCCTTCGATCATAAATGGACATGTTTGAGGACGGGTACTTCTAGGGAGACATCGCCGGAAATGGAAAGTAGATAAGAAAGAAAGAAGTCGGGAAAGATAGTAAACAAAGAAGATCATTTGTGTCTCTTCTATGTCCTCTTTAAATGTGTATGGTAGCATAAAACCTTACCCGTAACACTAATCACAGGTATGCTTAAGTTAGCATATATCTTTTAACATAAAGTATTGGTATGATAAGTAAATTCGCATACTTAACTCTTACATATCACAGGTAAAATGTTTAAGCTTTTAATCTTGATAAGTTTAAATATGTTCGTGGCTCAAAAAAATGTGACTAATTTTAGCGTTAGCGTTTACAAAACAACAAAAAACAACGACTCCAATGTTCCATTGTAAATCGTTAACCTTGGAGCGAGCTTGGCCATTTAATTTCAATCAGGGGGGTAGCTGTGCGCAGATATTCATATGAAGCTACATTTACCTGAACAAGTAGAACAAGGATGTAACTGGTGTCCTTATTTTAATTTCTCATGAAATCTCTTGTAAGTGCCATTTATTTTGGTTCTTTTTATAACTTCCGTTCACTATGTCACAAACTGCAAAGAGTGTCATACTTTTTCTAAGCAATTGTAGATATTTTCGTCACTGTTGAACAAACTGATTTAAGACAAATATATCTCAAAACAGAAAACAGGTACAACCGGCAATAATGTTGAGAGTGTCATGTTTAATACACCTGAATGTACACTACTCTAAAGGTTGCCACAGGTTTACGTTGTTCGATCGATACTAATGCCCGAATTTTATGGAAAATAGTTTATGAGCTCAGCTCTGCATTTGCTCGGTATACTTAAACAGGTATTTAATCAATTTTAGTATTAAATGGTCTCGAGAGATAAGCACTGGGTGATAATACCTGTCTCGGAACACAGGGTCTCGAGAAATATTACCGGTCTCTAGAGACAATCTCTCGGGTCATATCATCTGTTTGATAGACAAGCCACCGGGTGATATTGCCTGTCTGGGAAAGACAAGCCATCAGGTGCTATTACCTGTCTGGAAAAGACAAGCCCTCATGTGATATTACCTGTCTGGGAAAGACGAGCCTTCAGGTGATATTACCTGTCTGAGAAAGACAAGCCCTCAGGTGATATTACCTGTCTCGGATAGACAAGCCATCGGGGGATATTACATGTCTGGGAAAGACAAGTCTTCAGGTGATATTACCTGTCTTGGAAAGACAATCCCTCAGATGATATTACCTGTCTCGGATAGACAAGCCATCGGGGGATATTACCTGTAGACAAAACATCATTTAACAACAATATGGGGTTAATAATTACATAATGTCTCTTGTTAAAAGACGAAATATATGGTATATGCCATCGTTTCAGTTTTTTGTTTTTTCTGATTATGCTTTCTGAAACTTAGATAATCAAATATAAGTCCTGCTGTAACAAAGTAGTATATCTGACAAGAATATTAAATAAATACAAAAAAATCTGAAACGTGTTTTCTACTCATTACTCAAGAGTCGATAAAGGTAAGAAAGACGTACACTGTACGTGTCCTGGCATAATTTCATGGGGTCCAGGTGGGCGGTGTCTACCTGGACACGTCTGCATATGATCATTATTGTTGCAAGGACGGTAAAGCCTGACAACAGGAAAATAAAAATTTAAGGTAATAAAATATGAAGTAATAGTTGCGAAACCCAAGAAATGTTCATCCTTGTGTGTCAAAAATTACGTCGGTGAAGTGAAATTTTAGATAATACGCATTATATCAAGCGTATCAAATGTCAACATACAGGAGAAGATCTCAAGGTGATATTTAGATCGACAGGGATTTTTGAGTAAATCAGAGTAAGGGGTAACATCAGGATGACAAGTCAACAGGCCTTGGGGTTGAATTCGGGATGAAAGGTCAGCGGGATCTGCGGAGTCAATTGTAAAATCAGGATGAAAGGTCAACAGGAAACTCGGAATCGGTGGTTTCAACACGATGAAAGGTCAATAGGCCATGGGGTTGACTTCGGGAAGAAATGTCAACAGGAACTTCGGAGTCAATTGTGACATAAGAACTAAAGGTCAACATGCCATGATGTTGACATCGGGATGCAAGGTCAACAGGCCATGATGTTGACCTCGGGATGAAAGATTAACAGAACCTTTTGAGTTAATAGTATCATCAGGATGAAACGTCAACAGGCCATGGTATTGACAAAACAATAAATGAAGAGACACTAGGATTAGATGACAAAAAGACAAAGGAAGAGACACCAAAACTGGAGGACAAAATATCAAAGGAGGAGACACCAGAACTGGAGGACAACATGCTAAAGGAAGCGACACCAGGACTGAAGAACAACATGTCAAAGGATGAGACACCAGGACTGGAGGGCAGAATGTCAAAGGATGAGACACCAGGACTGGAGGACAGAATGTCAAAGGATGAGACACCATGACTGGAGGACAACATGTCAAAGGAAGACACACCATGACTTGAGGACAACATGTCAAAGGCGGAGACACCAGGACCTGAGGACAACATGTCAAAGGAGGAGACACCAGGACCTGAGGACAACATGCTAAGGAGGAGACACCAGGACCTGAGGACAGAAGGTCAAAGGAGGAGACACCAGGACTGGAGGACAGAAGGTCAAAGGAGGAGACACCAGGACTAGGGGACCACATGCTAAAAGAGGAGACACCTGGACTAGGGGACAAAATGTCAAAGAAGGATAAAAAAAGGACAAGAGGAAATGATGAAAAAGGAGACACCAGGACTTGAGGAGAACATGCTAAGGATCAGACACCAGGGCTTGAGGGCAACATGCTAAAAGAGGAGAAACCAGGACTGGAGAACAACATGCTGAAGGAGGCGTCACTAGGACTAGAGGAGAACATATCAAAGGAGGAGACACCATGATTGGAGGACAAAATGGCAAAGAAGGATACACCATGACTGGAGGACAATATGCTGAAGGAGGAGACATCAGGACTGGAGGACACCATGTGGAAGGAGAAGACACCTGTACCAGGGGACAATATGCCAAAGAAGGATTAAAAGGACAAGAGGAAATGATGAAAAGGGAGACACCAGGACTTGAGGGCAACATGATAAAGGAGGGTCACCAGGACTGGAAGACAAAATGTCAAATGAGGAGACACCAGGACAGCAGGACAACTAGATAAAGGAGTAGACACCAGGACGGAAAAGCAACATGATAAAGGAGGAGACACCAGGACTGGAGGACAAAATGTGAAAGGAAGAGAAACCAGTACTGGAGGACAACATATCAAAGAAGGATAAAAAGGGACTAGATGAAATGATAAAAAATAGAGACACAAAGACTAGAGGACAAAATGTCAATTAATGAGACACCAGGACTAGAGGACAGAATGTCAAAGGAGGAGACATTAGACAAAATAAACCACCACAAACACTAGAATACAATATGTACTACAGCGAAGACACCATGATTAATAGACAACCAGAAGACAAAGTGACAAAAGGGGACATGGAGCACCATAGTAACGACATGTTAGAATAAGTTTGATCACGGTGAAGATATATGGTTAACTTATAGGGACAGGATGCTCAAAAACACAAGATACCTGGAGATAGCACAAAAAGATGACACAATACACCATTCATTGACATTAGGATAAAAGCATGAGCTTCAGTAAAAACAAGAAATATCAGAGATAACCCATTGGGAAGGCATTTGGACAAGAAGACACGACACATCATAGCGGAGACGTTGACATGCTGTACGGAGAGGACATGAGTGAAGTTACACCGCAACATCTTGAACACCTTGGACAGTGCATGTTTTAACATTTAATCGAAAACAACGACCCATTTGGACGTGAATACCACTATCATATATGAAATGGTATGTATTCTAAAGTTGTTATCCTCGAATCATAAAGAACATTCCTTTTATGCTTGCTTCTCCGTTGTTTATGTACAAAACATACTGGACATCAATAAGCGCAAACTGCATCTGTGATAATGTGATATTGACCCGATGGCGGAGACAAAGGCGGAAATATGTGTTGGTTTGTCCTCGATAAATGACGCGAATATTATGAAATGCCTTAGTAAATAAAGTTTTTGGGAAAATATCTCAACCAGGGCTACATGCGTGTCTGGGTCTATCAGACGCTTGGTCTAACTTCCAAAGTCCATCGCGATATATTTTTGTGAAATTTTATGAAATATGAAAAAATAATGTGACCCCGTATTTGTCGATAGTAAATACCTATATGATACAATCATTGCTCTATGAGCTCGGGCTGCGATCACATGAAATTGAAATGTTGCAATAATAAAAATGAATAGATTAGCTCTGAACCCAAGAGCACGAATCTGATGTGTGCTTCGTGACGTCATTACAATTTTAGCTGCATGGTGGTGGCGTTCGAGATCGCTGGATGAGGCTGGCTGATCTGATGGCGGTTTCACTTTTTTAAAATCGACCTCAAATTTATAGAACAACCACAAAAATCAGCATTTATAATAACACAAATGAGAAATATACAAATATTAACTTTATGCTTATTGCTATTGCCCTATCACTAGGATTGCAGGCAACAAATCATAACGCGCAACGTTGTGTTATTCGTTGCCACTGCTATCCTGTTTAGAATAGTGTAAGCATTATATCTGAATATATTGTAGTTTATTCTAGAAACACATAATTGTTGACATTAAACTGAAAATGAAACAATCCGCTTGTTCGAATTCCGCCATATCATGCAGGCTTTTCCTTCATACAACATTACGTTGTCGCAGTTTCGATTTGTACCATATTTTCATGTTTATTGAGCCTTCTGGCTTTTTCAGCTACACAAAATGCTACTTTTGGCACATATATTCATAAACCTTACGCAGATACATTACCAAGATTGGCAAAGAGTAAAACTGCTAACAGTTTACCAATACGAGACTGTTGAGTAAACACCAGCAGGGATTACTTTGAATGAGTAAACAGTCCTACGGAATATATAGCCAGAAGAGTTCGTCTGTTTCCTGGTCAGTTTAAACAAGGCTTATTGTTTTCTAGATATTAAAAACAACGTATTTTTCTATCGTTGTTAATAGAAAATTCAATTTTGCAACCGTACCTATGTTTTCAATTTATTTAATATACCAATAAACTACGTATAACGTTGAGTAGAGTATTCTTACGCCAAACCGGAAGTTCAATTTCATATCCGCCATATCATGATGAACACAAGTGACAGAACATTATGCGACGGATCAAATGAGATGTTTAATGCATTCTTGAAGAAGACATAAGGTACGTTGTTATCTGTTTGACTCGTATTTATTATTTGACTAGCACTGCTAGTCATTTGAGCCAATGTGGCATTACACACCTTCTCACTGTTTAGTCAACTTTGACTGGTGTCTACTGTCGAGTACATATTCGTTGAACAAAGTAATAATACTGTGCTTTCTTAATTTTATTCTACATCGGTTTATTTAAACACATTGAATTCTTTAATTATCTAAATTCTTCACCCAAATCGTACAGTGTTTCTACTCTTGCACGCTAGTTTTACTAAAGCAGAGGTTGTTGACATGTGAATGTGTATTGGGTCGCGAACACGGTTCAGTGGGTAAGGACATGTGCTTTGGTGTCCGTAACTTTATCATGCCTTGTCGTGTTGCTTAATACTGTTTTGATGTAGTTACTTTTAAAATAAAATATCAAGCAGAATCTTGATGCTTTCAGTAATACAGCAGTCTACGGAGTATGATATAGCGCTACATTATTGTGTTGTTTACCTCAAAATTATCGTAGCCATTACGAGGCTGTGCTGTAGTATAAAATAAAACCCGGATAACGGACACCACACTCCGGACTTAAAGCGGATCGTGTAGCGTTTATTTATCATTATATTGACTTTTTGTGTCCCTACAAAGGAAAATAGATTTATGTTGGCAATGTTATACGTTTTAACAATTTTATGTAGAGTAATGCTATGGGGCTGGGATTATATATAAGATTATGTTTTCGCAAAACCTTGTGTAACATTTTTTAAAGCATTTTTTGATCGTTGATTTTTTTTAGCTTAAACATTATTTTATTTCATCACTTGCACACTACATTACAATACAGTACAGATACAACGAGGGTCGGAAAACAAGTTATGAATTATTTGTATGCAGTAATATTGAATTAAAGCAAAGTCACATATGAAGGACATTCCTTTTTATTTGTCCCGTAAAATAGGCTGAGCGACAGAACGATTTATCACGTTTCATAATAATCTTTGTCCTCGGTCTCATTTTTATCTCGGCATCATATGCATGGTCCCCATATTGTCGATGGGCGTTCAATTTGTTTGCATTTCAACAACATTAAAACTGTAATAAAGGCCATACATATTTTAAGTAGTGAAAATTAACCGTTAATTCTGATCCACAGGTTTACATATATATAGGGAAATTAAGGTTTCATTATATATAATAATAAAGTTTAATGTTTAATACTATTGGAACTGATCCATTTTACAAATTAGCAGTTTTGCACCATTGGTTGGATTAATATCTTAAATTCATGTATAGAAATATAATATATATATATATGTATTGATACTTATAATACAGTCAAAGAGACATATTCATAAGAGCCGAGGGTCACTCCAAATTTCAGTACTTCCCAAGGCCGTTTCTTGGGTACAGATGTTGAAAACAGGTAAATAAACCCCAATCATTTTCCCTTGACGCACATTTTATTGAATTGAGCGTTCATACCATACGTATACTTAGTTGTAATGTTTACGTTAAATGTACCAATGTGAGTGTTCCTGTATTTTACTTAAAACATATAACAGTAGGTCCATATTGTTTGATACATTACTGATTAGAGTGGTATTCCATTTAGTAAAGAGGTATGGCGGAAAACTGCCCATATTTCCCTAAGTCGGCATTTATGAAAACGAGAAAAAAGAATAAGGAGTAAAACATTTCGTGTATCAAAAATGCATACAAAAGATACAAAACCAATTGAATATGAATTTTTAAACTGCTGAGAAATTAGGTATTGCTAATATGATACTGCAAATATATAGCCATATACACTATATCTATGAAAGTGATGGGGTTTCCCGGACTTAAAATATACTTTCAACACTTTCCCATCTGAGGACCAACTTTTGAATAAACTTTTTGTGACCGTGATGCAATATGCAAAAACAAATCGTATTACGGAAAAGTGGTCCTCCTTTGGGAAAGTGCTCAAAATAATGAAAAACAGGGGTGATCAAGTTTCTCTAAACTGGGACCGGTGTTTCTCGGATTAAATAAGTTTGTAATTGTCAAGTTTGTAATTGTCAATTATTCATTTTTTTCGACCTGATTTAAATTCATGACATCGAAGTAGATCGTCATAAACAATTCACCAAAATTACGAAGTCGAAATAACCGATTACTTTCGAACGTATAGTTGAACATACAACATTCAGATGGCAGCTTATTTTATTTTATTCCATCTTCCATACACATTTATGATGGAATAATTAATTTGTAAGACTCTATTGAGTTTGAAGCAGATCTGACCTTTGGGGGATTTATATTCGGGAAAATGACACAGAAATCTACGCTGATATAATCTGAAATCATACACTTAACAATGTCAAGATAATGGGATGTCGTCAAGTCAGTTCATACCCCGTCGGTGTGTTTTTATATAATTTGTTGTATATATATCGTTTCGATGTTTCATCGGGGAAAGTTTAATCCCCTCACCGCCATCTTTGGTAGTTTTTGTACAACACTGAGATCAAAGTATGCCACCATTCTATACGACAAGTTTGGAGTAGGCTACCAAATTACCTCTTTTTTCATAATTTATTTACATTGTCATATGCTTATTTGTTCTTGTTTACATAACCCAATACCACACAATCTGTAATGTTTTAAGTCTGATGTTAAGATATCCCACCAGCTATTAACTTTAAATTTGGCATTACACATACACATGTACATGTAATCATCACACAATCTTAACTATGACGGATCTATACAGTGAGGGGGGTCCTAGCGTGCTTCAGTCCCATCCCCACCCAAACCCCATACCCTCAAGCTTAACAAAAAAAATCTGGGTTTTTTTTTGCGTTAAAACATGAAAATCCCCCTCCCCCAAAACAGCGTATTATTTATTTTCCCATTTTATTTTTACATTATTTGTATATAAAGTAAAAGTTTGATATTACCTATTTCCAAACTGAAAAATATTTTCTGCTTTGTGCGACAGCACATGGATGTGATATTATCTGTAAATGTATATAACAGAACGTTTGTGTTGTCGATGACTATACGTATGTAACCGGAGAGACAGAATTATTCTAATGCTCTTGCTATTAGGCTCACCCTATTGTTACCTAAACACGAGCTTTCACAGAGTAAAACATAAAATTTCATTATTGTGCTCATTCAGGTTTGTACTATTGAAGTAAAAGCTGAATATTTTACTTCCAGGTGATGACGTCCCAGTGATTCAGGAACTGGACAGGTTTAACAGACGCGGAGTTTCACCGACCCACACCGTTAAATAAACGGTGGGTTGCCATCTCCAAAATACAATGTTAGTTAATAGCCCATTCTTGCAATACAAACTAAATTGATACAGTCATATCATTTCAAACTCTTTAAGGAGTGTTCTCATTTCCCCTCTGTCATTGTGTCTACTCATCGTCATTAAAAAAAATCGCAAGTTTCTCTTGAAGCAATAAATGCTATAATTTCTTAACAAAAAGGCTTGTGACTAGCTATATAACCTTTATCGTCCCCTTGATTTCATGTTTTCTCAAAGATGGCTTCGTCTTGTATTCCATGCGTAAAAGCTACTGCTTGATCAATAATGTTTGTACATGTACACAGTACTTCGAATTGAGGTAAATAAAAGGAAAAATATGAGACTTTCGTGGACTAAGCCATAATATATTAATTTGAAAAGAAAATAATCACTAAAATCTGTCTCGGTACAATATGTCTGGATTATGACAACGGTCAATTACGTCACTTTGGGCTTTATAGTTTTGAAGTGCCCAAGTGGGGAAGGGCACTGGTTCTGTCCCCAGGCCGGGGCATGTAGCTTACAAACGGCAGTTGTTTTTTCCTGTTCACCGTACAGTACTTGGAGCAATTGCGATAGATGGTTTAGCTCTTGTCGGTATAAATATTACAAGGTGGAATACTGGGCTTGGTGACTTCGGCATGGTATTTCTGTGAGGTAGCGCTCTTTAGTCGGTATCAGACCGGACATGCTTTATTATCTTGGTCATAAGACTACAAATCTACAATGTAATAAAGAAATTAAAACTCTTTAAAGGGTAATCACGTGAAGAGCCATACTATTTTTAATGAATGTATGTGTTGTATGCACTTCCACTTATGTTACCTTGCTATCCCCATATTCATAGTCCGTTCCAAATGTCCAGTTTGACCACTTGAATTGTTCGGGAAAGCCCTGTTAAAAATAGCGCCTGGCGGTTTTGAAACGAGGCAGTAAACACAGGTGGTCTGAACGAGATCCAAATGGGCCCCCAGAGATCAACTGCAACGTCTTACCGCACTATGAAACCTAGACTGGCCACCGTCTCTAGAATATTGAATTATTAAGAAAAAAGTTTAATTCAAACATTTTTTATCACTTGGATGTCTGATTCTAAGTTCTAAACTAGGGGGAGATAAGCTAGTAGTAAATTGCAGCTGAGATATTCTTCATAAAAACTTAGGGGCTGGTAGTCAGTCTATATGAAACTAAGTAATATGATTTCTAAGTCCGTGTTGAAACTTATTAAATCAGTAATTATTTGTCATCAGAATTTAATTGCACACATGCCAATATTCGGAAATTAAATGAAGAAATATTTGTTGGCAACTCGGCAGTATTTATAGACATCGGGAAATATAGATCTATTACCGGAATGTGACCGGTACAAATGGAACGGGGCTAAACACCTTCCCTCAACCTAGGGACAAACCTTTCTGTAAAAAGGAATATTCACGAGACGAATATCCCTTTTCAATTATTTTCATAAAGTGCATATGCATTGATAAGTATAAAAAAGAGAAACGGTTCTGATTTTGTTTTACATTGAACAACTCAATTTCTTTGGCCATTTTTTTTTCTTGGCCACTTTTTTTCTAGACCATGCATTATATATATTCATGTATACTCTCTTTCCCACTTTCACTGTCTTCATACGCTAACACTTAGTAAGTTTTATTTGCCAAAACCACTACGTGTACATGTAGAATATGTGTCAGATATGGAACGCGTTGAGATACTTGATAATTATATGTTTTCAAAACTTAACATAGATTAAAGCGTACTTGCAAATGGACCCTTTTTATGTTAAGATAACTTTTCTCTAATCAGTTATTTTTGTCCGAAACAGAAGCTATAGTTATCGTCAGCTCGCGCCATTTTTACAAGTAAACAAATGACTTCCCCCCCCCCCCCCCCCCCCCCGTTTTCAATACGTATTCCGATTCTGTCTGAAGTCGAAAATTAATTATTCATGGAGAAAAAGTTGTTGCATGATCATACATTCTAAGTCAACATGATGTGAAAACATGAACTGTTGAAACATTACGATTTAAAAAATATTTTTGTTATGCGATCCTATATACTATAAATAGGTGCGATCCTATATACTATAAATAGGTTCTCCTTCCTCGGTTATTCATCCTGAATCGTCATTTTGACATATTTAAATCTTGCATGTAAATAAAAAAAAAATCGTTTACTTCAGCAATATAATTACATGATACCATTTTACTGAACCCGGGAATATTATAAATTATGTAAATCTAATAGCGCACGTATCTCATTTGACCCCGAGTACCAACAGAGGTGAGAACAGAATACGCCGTAGCTATCTCAACAGTTATCCCCTGGAGGGCCTCATGGCAAAATCAAACTAACCAGTCACCTATCCCTTCCTTTCGCATAAACTACTGTATATAGAAACACAAAGTAAACTCTCTCCGATGCATGTCCATTAACATAACAAAATAAGTTCATCTGTGTTCCAACTCAGACAAAGATACTAGCGTGCTTAATAGTTTTAGATATTTATTCATAACATAAACAGCATTTCTGTCGAATCCATTTCAGCTTTAACCGGCTATCCGGAAAAATATATGCACCGTACTTACTGCTAGGGCAGTATTTTCTCCTTTGAATAATTCCCACCTGCAATAATGATTTCGTAACGTAATCCTTGCGCTATCTTTAAACCATTTGACAACTATTCGCCGTAGCTGACGCGGTAACGGTTTCCTCACATGGCTAGACATTTTGTTTAGAATGAAATAATGTGCTCTACGCATGCGCTAGTAGAAGAAAATCCCTGAACAAAACGTTGGTCAGACAGGTAGAAATCCAGATGATTATCTTAAAATTATTCATTTTTATGAATATTTATCAGCCAAATCCGATCGTTATTTTCCATAAGGAAACTCACTTGATATGTTTATGTAGTATTTGAAAATATATATATATATATATATATATATACACTTCACCGTGATACACCATTGCAGAAATTGGTATCTTAATCAGCCCAAAGTTGACGAATACATGCCTTTCATGGATTAGTCAATAACAAGTAACAATACAAGAATAGTGGTAATTCTAATTGTTACTCGATGTCATTTTTTTTCTTCTAAATTTTGCAGGAAAATATAACATGTACTCGAAAAAAGGCATGAATGATTAGATACGTTTCACATTTGAAATGACCTTATGGGCACCCCTGGTCATTATCCGTAATTATATATTTATTGCATCAAGACAGAATTTCTAATGTATTTCCTTTTGCATTTACATTGTAGCTAACTAGCTATGTGCTAATTGTCACATATTTCCAAACGAAAGTGTAGAATATTTTTTCTGTGGTTTCCTCATTTCGAAATAAAGCCAATTGATATTTAATTATACCCTATTTGGAGCCACCCCAAAACATTTTCGATCGTGAGTTTGCAGAAACGATTTCGTATGTAACAACACAGGACGCTGTTACTCGGAGTAGGAAAAAAAACAACCCGGAAATCAAGGAACCTAGATAGGCCTTATATACACCGATATTTGATAAATGTGTAAAACGGTTGCAAAGACTGGCAGTTAAATGATCAATTAGTCACACGAATGATGCTTTTAGGCTTCAAAATTCTTACAATATACATTGTATATCAAAAATAGAATATCACTAACCTTTCAATGCGCATTTACATAACATGAAGGGAAAGTACAGATACTTAGGATCAAGGTTTCAAGGTCACTTTGTTGATGTTTTGAAATGTCTCTTAATATAAAGTATTGTATGGGAAGTCGCCACATTGAATACATATGTTCAATTAACACCAAGAAGAAACGCGCACTCTTTAGTTACGCTGTAAGCGTATGTACAATAGTTATATAATTATGTACCGAAATGACTCGATTCAGCTTTATTAAATACTTGGTCATAGATGTGCGAGAGTCTATCCGCCTTGGTGAACACCGGAAAGATACGGAAACCCATGAAGGAAGAAAATTCGGCAGATCAGAAAGGAAGCAGCCGGAGTCCCAGATAAATAAATCGGCAGTCACAGACCATGCCACACAGAAAAATCATGTGATTGACTGGTATAACTTCCAAGTATTGGACAGAGCGAGCAATCTGTTCAAGCGGCAAATAAAGTAAGCCATCTGGATACGCCGCAGTGGGCCAGTTCTAAATCGAGATGAGGGGCCTCATAGACTCTTGCACATCTATGACTAAGTATTAAACAAAGCGTAGCTAAATCGAGTCATTTCGGTACATATAAAAAATCTACTGTACAAACGCTTACAGCGTAGCTGAATCGACATCGATTTGTGGACAACTCGTACACATTTTACACCTTTGTGTGCATACGCTTCACTGGTCATTTGTCTGATGACGGTGACCAAGTACATACCATACTACTCATCGAAACGTCACGTAGAAACACTTGGTTGTGTAACAAGAAAAGTTTCATAACATAAAGCAATGATTGATTTCTTAACGTGATTTGTAATCTGTTGTATTTTCCCCTTTTAAACTTCAACAGTTAACAATATTTTGCCGTTTCTGTTTTCAATAAAGTGCGTTACAATGTAATGAATATAACCCAACCGACTACAGATGTTGATTAAGATATAAGAAATAAACCTGAATACTGCAGAGTTTGAAAGTCAACTCAAGGTAAAAAAAACATCCTTTCGTAAACGCCGGTAACATTTATTTTAAACATCAGTTGTTCATAGTTTTCGAGTACGTTAATAAAATGTGTGAGAGTTGCATTCAGGTTTGTCTCCGTTAATGCAAAAAAAGGATGATGGTTTATCACGTTTTGGCCTATGTCTCTGTTAATGATGTAATATTTTGACAGGTTTATTTTTGGCCCCGTTATTTAGTCTTTTCCTGTTTATGATATAAAAAGTATGGTAGTTATCAAATCACTTCTTGCCGTTTTCTGCTAATGATATAAAACGTTTTCCTTTTAGGGGGGGGGGTCGTTATTTGTTAAATATATTAAAATACGATAGTTCTTACCGTTTGGTGTTAATGATATAAAACGAGTTGGTATCACTTGTTGTATTTGTTAGGTGATATAAAACATGTTATTTCTATGACTCGTGGTCTCTATAACATGATGTGAAGTGTGGTAGTTATATCACGGTCGAGCGGGGTTGAATTGTGAAGGTAGCTCGAGGGCGTGTGTCCTCCATAAAATGATTACATCAGTTATTTCGCTGATGATATCTGTTTAGGGATGAAGTAGTGAAATGGTAAACAAATATATAAATTAACTAGTAGTTCCTTTACCTGTAGACATTACGAAGTGATTTAAAAAATTGATCAATCGATGATGGTTTCGGTAAGCAATAGAAGTTTAATACTATTTTTAGCGTTCGAATCAACGCTTCTATAAGTATAAGATTTAGGTTTAGAATATAGCTGACTTGTTATAAATAGATGCTTTAAAAAAACAAACATGCCGGTTCAGTTAAGACTAATATATCATCATTATGCAATAAGAATGCCCAGCAATACATAACATTCAATAGTTGCATTTTTATCCCTAAAAATATATTCAGAGGGGATATAGTCATCACGTGGGGTTTCCATCCGTCCGCCCGTCTATCTGTGGTGCTTGTGCGGATGATAACTTGAGAATACTTGATCGAACAAAGTTCCAACTTAGTGTGTGGGCTGCTCTAGTGAGGGCGTGGTGCGCCAGAAGCCAAGGTCAACGATGCTAAAAGTAGAATTCTGCTTGTCCCGACGATAACACTATTAGAGTTAATTAACTTATGAGTTCAAACTTGGTCTATGTGGCGCCCTTGTGACTGAGAATAAGCCGATTGATTTAATGGGCGGACAGTCAGTGATTTAAGGGGTGGGAAGACGGGACAAGATCATAACTGCTAACAATTGAATTTTTCTTCTCTGAATGATAAAATGACTGATAATTTTCATAAAAAGTTCGACGTTGCTGAATGTGTTGCCCTAGCATATATATCCACTGGTCTATTAAACGGATGATTGTATAATGTCTGCATTTCATGTGCAAAGAATGGTTGTCATGGCCACATAGAGCTATTCTAAACAAACATTGTTCGTATTTGTGCACAAGTTTCCTACTTATAACAGCAAAGCCTCCACATTCTTTGTTCGTGGAATATGCTGCCCCTGTTGGCTCTCTCGTTTTAAATCTCACGTGGAAATGAAGTGTTCTCAGCTGTTCAAATAAATAACTAAGGATGTTCTATTTACGTTAGCTTGACGTCGGTTCTTTCATGTTCTAATTTCAGAAAACTGATCATCGAGTAATGGCATTGAGTGACACACGAATGCAGATTGAAACCAGGGAACCGGGAATGGAAAGCAATATTGGTATCAAGAACGATTATGAAATTCCGAAGATCCAGACTGATGGTGATAATTATTCTAAAGAATCGGTACCGGAAATAGCGATAGATGGCGAGATTGTTTCTAGCGAACCAGAAATGGAAATACAGATTGGCGCCGTGTTTTCACTTGCAGCACTCGATGACAACAAACAAAATGAGTCATTGGAATCTGAGTCCTTGGGATCGCAGACTTCATTCACGGGATCCACTGTGTCGGCAAAGGAAGATGACAGTCTCAACGGTAGCCAGTCAGACGTCACATGTGCACCGCATGAAGAAAACAACGTCGACAATAATTTATACATCAACAGTAGTATTGCTAATGAAAGTAGCGATGTCACCACAGACCAATATGGTGGGGACATATCTCATGTTCATTCTGAAACTTCTTTTTGTTCTGTGTCACCTAAACATAAAGTTGATGTGTCCGGTGAGGTTGACTTGAGTGCAAGAATTGTGAACAAAAAGAAGAAAGATGCCCAGGTCGCTAAAAAAATTAAACATGTTTCGAGGTCAAAGAAAACAAAAGACTATCCTGGATACGAAGACATAAAGAAATACAGCTACTGTTATGTGAAGTTGTCTGACGTTTTGAAGCATAGTGTTATAAAGCAAGAAGTAGTGAAAATGGAAAAGAAAAACGAGACGATGGAAGTCGAGGAAGACAGGGAAATGACAACGCAAGAACTGAAAAATCAACAAAAGCCTCGGCCGCGAAAAAAGAAGCCTGTAAAAATTACGATGAGAAAGTGGAAAAAGAAAAAGTCTGTTATAAAACAAAAGGACGAAACTGAAACTGTGGTAGTGGATGATCCTCTAAAATCGGACACAATTACAGAAAACTTACAGAACAGACCTAACAGAAAAAGAAAATTCAACCATAATCTGTTCACAGATGCTGTTGTGTTTGATAGCCGAGGCATTTGTAACTATGCTGATTACGAGATCAAGGCGCTGGAAGAGGAGGAATCTAGGCGAGGCCAAACTACGATATATGGATTCCGAGGAAGTCGCCCCCAGGTGGCCAGGACTAAAAAGAAACTATGTCGCGTCAAAAGAGAGGATATGCCGTTTATAAGCGTTAAACTTGACAATGAGCAAATCGATAAGCTTGATAAATCGAAATTTGCTGTTTCGAAATCTGTTGCTGTTGTTAGATCTATCAAATGTTATACGAATCATCAACTTCAAAAAATCAACAATGGCAGTTTCCGTATTTTGAAAAGTTGGTCGAAGGAAAAACGCTCAAGACCTGTCAAGAAAAATAGAAAGGAAAAATCCAAAGCCACAAGTAGTTCGAAAGTAACTGCAGCCGTAATGATGGAGGATGGGTCTATGTCAGCAACGAGGAAAAAGAAGGAAAACATGTCAGTGACGGGGTTTTCTGGTACGACAATTCCACTACACCAGCAGAAGATGACACATGATACCAAAAATGTTGATATGAGTACTCTGTTATTGTCCAAGAAACCTCATGCAACACATCCAAATTCGGTAGTTCTACCGGTAAATGCACAAGTTAAACAAAGTAGCGTGTCATCCTTTGACGACAACAAGGGTACTTTGGTCTCAAACGAAGCTCGAGTTAGTCTTACCGGAAGATATAGGAAGCCAAGTAAAAAGTACATTTCCTTCATTACAAATTTTGAACGGAATGGATCTACAGCAAAAATCCCAACAAAAACAGGAGTCAAATTAGAACAACCGTTTATTGAAATGGACATTGCCGGAGATGCTGAAGGTACAGTTCGACATCAGCATCTAAATGGAGCCATAGACAATACTAAAAAGTCAAACAATTCCGTTGAGGTGAAAGATCGGATGTACAAACACGAACCAAATCAAGCAACGCTGTCCGTTCAAACCTATGGCGATTCCGCGACCTGTACAACCCCAAACGTTACAACAGAAAGTGCTAACATTTCGAAACCAGTAAAAAGCAGTCCGACGTTTGTAATGAAGTCGCAATCCGTGAGTAATGCTTCAGTACTTTTCCCTCCAAATCTGTTGAAAAGTACTGTAAATGAACTTGCTAGGGTACAAAATACGAAGAAGTTTTTCCAGTTACGCGTTGGTGACAAAATGGTGTTAATACCAGCAGATGGTGGAAATATTGTTCCGAAGGCATATGTGATAGATGTAGCAAGTCATCTTGCGGTCACGAAGACATCTGCTGAAAAAAATACACGCACTCCGGACTTTTCCTCGAAAAAGTCCTCTGAAGTGTCATCAAAGCACGTTAATACTGAAACGACAGAGAGTGATTTGGATAGAAAGAGTGATTCATTGGGACGAGCCCTTGCATCAGCAGGTAGTCTTGATTCTATGTTTCCACATTCGGCCAATCAACAGGTCACTTCAATTGAATCTACTGGAGGCTGTAGTGGTGGAAAGCTGACGATAAATACCGGGAATGTGTTGAAACAAGCGTTACTATCACCTCCGCCATTATCTCCTCATGTGGAATCTGTGAGTTCTCTGATTTTCAACTCCAGACACATTCCCCCAGTATTGAGTCCCACAGGACTAGCGAATCCAGAGGGTGTTTATGATGACACAAAACCGCCCGTTCTTCGACAGGAGTATGCCTCTTGTGATGGTGATAACCCGAATCCCAGTCAAATGAAAAGTATTCTTCCAAAAGTGATAAAAGGATCTACATCGGACGGAGAACCTGCGAGAGCTGGTTTACCTGCATATACAGGTGGAACTTCACCTTCACTTATCGTCATTCCTCATGAAACAAGGACCGATAGATTAGTCGTCAAGAAAGAACCTGATCATCTCAGGAATTTTGTAGTTGGTGCCAGTACGAAAGATACTGCACAAAGAAATAAATCAAACACACCGTCTACACTTTTGGACTCGCAGGAAACACGTTCTAAAACTCAATTAACACATAACAATGTAACTGTGTCGGAAAACTGCTTGAGTTCTTCAGATACAGGCAGTAGAAGTGATAACACAAGGACAACGACTGAAATAGTATCAAGTGAAGACGCAGATTTGCGACCCATAGTAAAGTTAAACGCAACATGTTTTTCGTCAAAGGAGACCAATCAAACATCCTCCTACAACTCTGCAATGGCTTTAAAGGTAGACCAAAACCGATCTGTTACCTCACAATCTGCACAAGAAGATAAAAACAAGACTGTAACGACGTCGGGCACATTGTTTGTTGCAGGCGTAGACAACGAAGCAAATCCTCAACCCGAAGAAGCTTCCAGTTATCGGGAACCAACCGATACGGATCGGGAACGAACCATGTTTGGCATCGAAACGGTTACACACGTTCCAGCCAATGAAACTCTGGTTCAGGAAAGAATTAGAAAACTTCGGGAAAGGTTAAGGGAAACGCAAGCTGATTTGGACACCGCCAAGAAGACAATTAGAATTAAGAAGGAGTACAATGAAGATGACTATTAGAACCTTTAATCGTACTTTTTATTTTTCCATCTCACTCCCATCACACATTTTGGATGCAACGTTCAGATGAATTGCTTAAAAAAAACAAGTTGATTAATTGATTTTTTTTTGTTGGTGCCAGATTTGTAGAACGGCAATATATATAAAAACCTTTAGTGTCCAATATCCTGAAATGGTGCTGTATCATTGTTTCTCCCTTTTTGCACATGTTTGGAAATAATGATTTTGATGTCATTTATTCAAACCGTTATTATCAAGAGATCAATTAAAATGTGATCGATAAATGCTGTAGTCAAACACCTTGATACGTGACTAATACATAGGAAAATTATTTTCCCTGTTTTTATAGCATATATCGTTCAGCTGTGTTCATACGAATGTATTACTTGTAAATATGTTATTGTGTATTTGTTTTTTGTTTGTGTACTTTATATAACGTTAAGATCCGTTCACTTACCTGACAACATAGCAATGCAAACCACTCATACTGCAAATCACTTAGTTTTAGCGAACACGGTTTTTGCGTGTAATGCTTTCAACTGCCTCTGCATTTTTTTGAATTGGAGAAATGTACAAAAGACGAATCATTTGTCAAGGCCTTTTGCGGGATTATCATTTGAGGTGGACTTGCCAGAAGAAGAAAACGTCCAGTGTTTGCGAAAAATAGACGTTTTTTTTAGTAAAGTGATTTATGTTGCTATGTTGTAAGTCAAGGAATTATCAGGTCATATTTTTCAGAAAGATCTGTATTTTGATCCTTCTTTTCTTGATGCACAATAAACACAAGTTTCGAGTCAAATACCGTAAAAATGTAAACGGCTTTACGTAAAGAAATTTCGTGTTAATTTTGCGTTCACTTGACCAACGCATATATAACAACACGCCATGTGCAAAATATGTTTTGAGTAAAATTGCTAAAAAAAATGTCATACTATAAATATTGTAAATATTGCCATGAATCAAGCCCAGAGCATGGCCGCTTTTACAGCATATGTCATATTGTTTCTAGTTCTAGCTAAGTTATATAACATTCTTCGGTTAAATATCTTATGCAAGTTTTGTGAAGGATAGATACAATATATCATAGGGAAACAGTTTGTTTTGAACTCCATAGGCAATATTTTTCTAACATTTTCGTTATTAGCTGCTTTTGGTTCCATTTTCTAAAGTGAAACATTTTATACTAGTTGTAACCGTTTAAAGACGCTTAACGAATGATGATTATCTGGCGACGTTTCGTGTATACGTCTCCCGTCCACCCATCCATGTCTCTGTCAATCCGATATATTTATTTTAGAATCGAGATCGAGAAGAATAAATTCAATCCAATACAGTGACAGTTGGGGGACTGGGGGTTTAAGGTCAAGGTCATTAAAAACGGCCTTTCAGTTGTATTTGGAAAATTCAAACACTTCAATAGTCAAGGTCTTAATTCTCGATGTTGCTGTAAAACTGATGTAAAATATATCTTTGTATATCATGATGAAAGCAACCCATTATCATTTCATGAAAAAGAAGCAATTTAAAATATATTAACTCGAATCCCACAATCGTTGTTGGAAGATTACGATACGTTCAAAAGACCCAATTTCGGCGATAGGATTTTTTGCATGCACCATACGCAGGTACTCTTAGCATGTTGAATGCAATACTTTTATTGACAATTTTCCTTAAGTGTTTTTGAATCATATGCTGTAAAAATAATGATTCTCCTTTAAACATGCATGAGCAATCATCCAGTTTGCTGTTTTCCCAAAGGTATAACCGATTGTAACGTATGGTGCGGAAGGTTAAAAAGACAAGTTTGTGGGTTGTGTAGTGGTTAAGGGACACATTTAAAAAAAAAAACGGTTTGGCCCACCTAGAGTGCGGTTCCCCGATCGCACGTTAAAAGATAATGGTACACTAGCTTCCATCCGGGAAAGCAAGAGTGATTAAGATTATATCATGTTTTCATATTTTATTTTCTTGAGCTAGTTCTCAAATGAGTCTGAATTCTTAAAATGTTTCATCAAGGAGATCTAACCGATGTATTAGCATTTTTTAAGAAGGTGTGCATTTGTATTTAGTATTTGAGGTTCAAAACACAGTTATCATTTTGTGCGTATATGTATTCATATGGCTCATCTAGACATTTTATGAGTAAATGTTTGTATGCATTTATCAAGTGTAACAAAACGTTAAGCGACTACTTTGTAAGTCATAAGGTGTACCAATGACATTTAAGGTAATTGTAGTTGATTTATTATGATAGCTTACATGTACTGACTTTAATCAGCTGACAAGGTACAGTAATAAGGTGCTCTTGAATACATATGCATAAGTATACGTATGCCCGACATATTTCGTCGGGTACGGATGAGTTCATCATTATTCATTTCCTACTTGTAATCGTCATGATCACGTAGCAGTCTTGCAATTATATGTCATTCCACATTCAATTGAATTAATTAAGGAAAATATATTAGTAAAAAAACTAAATATTTACATTTGGGTTGCAGTAACTAGTACAGGGTGTGTAATCGTTGTAGCAAACATGATTGTTTTCTAAAAGTATGAGCTGACTGCCATAGGGGTGTTGATGTCTGCTTCGGTACATTTCCTGTTCATATTTTGAGGTTATAAATGTTATTAATTAAATCGCGGTTTATGTTGTTTGTTTCGAATTATTTTATCGCGTAATTATTTCCAAATTAGCTTTGATAGTGTCTTCGGATCCTTGGATGCCATATGTCGTACCTATGAATACACACTTTTCCAAATTAAAAAAAATGTAATTTAATTATTCCTCTACTACGAAGTTTGGGAGGAGGAATGGTTATCCAAGAATCAGCTTGTATTTTTGTCTGTCCATGGATGGCAATTGTCCAGAAAACTCCTCCTGATAAATAAAGCCGATGATTACCAATTGTTTACATTTATAATTACTGTAGATTCTTAAATGTTGCGCCACATATTTATATTTTCAAATCCGACTTTTCCTCATTGTTATTGTCCATTATGTCCTTGATGTCATTTCACGCCGAATCCAAACAATGAATTTGAACTATCTGACCGATTGCATTGGAACTGTTTGGACTGATGTAAAAGGCACATAATAGTCACACGGGGAAATGTTAATAACGGGATTCAAGATGCCACCATGAACAATGATTAGCTGAGTCTGTTCCATTGAAAACTGGAGCTTAAATGGGCTTACTTTATTAAAGCATAACAGGTTTCCATATATCGAAGAACAACATTTCAAGATCGGAATTTAAAATGCTATAATTAAAGTTCTTCGACCGACCCGAACGTTGCCTTCCGCTACTCTGCGTATTCGCTTGCCTGTTTCTTTTGTTGCCTTGGCATGAAAGGACATTGCAATGCTTCTTGTTATTTGAGACGGTGGTGTTCGTTCTATTTGACACAAAAATAAAATAAATTCACATTTTTATGACAGGGACATGTAAGACGTAAACTTTGACATGATGGACGTGCACTTCAAAATGTTTGACCAAAAATTAGGAATGGGCAATATTGAAGGGAGGAAACTCATATTGTAAAATATATATGTAAAGCCTTATAACCGCAGAAATACGATTGTACGTAGTTCTCACTAATATTTACATTTGCACGGCATTGCCACTAGATAAAATATTTCAAAGCTGTGTCGTTTATGGGACTTTTAATAAATGCCATGCACCACGAGACACAATTCTTATCGTATTGATACAATACAGACCGGAATTACGATATCCAATGTTAACAAACATAACGGCTGCTGAAATATAAGAAGGCATTGCGAGACTTGACAACTTGTGACTGTAAATGAGTAAAAAAAAATCGAGAAAATATTAAAAAACACTTTTGTTACAACAACAAATTAAGACAGATATCAATATCGTACAAAATGCATATAGGTTGAAATGAAATGAAACATTTTTAACACTCATACAATTTATCAGAAATATCGTCTGTTGCATTGCACTTATCTTACCATGTTTTCCTTGAATTTTGTTCGTCTTTTTAGGCAATGGATTCTCATCTAGCGGGAATGAAACTTTTAGATATTAACTTAGCATACATTGCTTTTGAACCAACTGACACGAATGATTGGTTTGATTTGTATGTGTTTTACGTCCTATTAACAGCTATGGTCATTTAAGGACGTGTCGGGTTTTAATGGTGGAGGAAAGCCGTAGAAAAACCAACGACCTACGGCCAGTACCTGGCGACTGCCCCGCGTAGGTCCTGAACCCGCGACCATGTGGTGGCAAAATGTCCGACGCCTTAACCACTTGGCCACCGCGGCCCCCTCAAAACGAATGAATAGTATCATGTTTGAATGATGAAAACGCGCGTTATGATGTTATCTTGCAAAGCTGCATCATTCAAATATATCACAAATGCCATAAAAAATCTGTTCAATGCTTACAGCTAAACAGTGCAAGTTAAAAAGCTCTCAATTGAGATTAACAAAAAACAACCTGGTTTTGAGGTATTCCCCATCTTTTCTGACTATCGTTTTTAAGGAAGTGCCGACATTTTAGTTTGTTCTTGCTTGGTTACGAGTATGGGTTTCGCTGGGTATAAAAAGCTCATTACCTGTCAAACCTAGACGTGTTTTCTTCATAGTTAAAAGTAGCTTTATTTGGAAGTGAAGGTAATTCAACCAACAAAACGTATTGCCTCCCTTCGCTAGTTGCTTTTCTGAATACTACACAAAATACATTATGTAGTTTACCGTTAATAGCGTTATTAAAACAATATAAATTATTAAGGGGTCTAGTGGGACATGGGCCTCTAGTTTTGACTAAGATGTCGCATTACAATTGGCAAATGATGTTCATCCATAGAGGTGAACGATTCAGTCTATGCTCAACTACCACGCTCATCAATCATTGAGGAATGAGATGGTGCCTGCTCGGTAAACAAATTACAAAAAATGAATCGATTTAACTAGAGCAAAATACGTACCACGGAAAGATGTACTATGATACCTTTGAACAAGTACAAGGTTGCAACGAGAAAAGGGCCGCATGTTCAAGGAAGTATTGGGTCGATACAAACAAATATCAGGTCATCAAACCTAGATCCAGGGTAGCGACATCGAAGCAACAAAGCACTCTAACGAGCGTAATGAAAACGTCGACCTTGTTATCACACAAATAATAACATGCTCCAAAACGAGATAATAATTGTGACTATAAAACATGGCAATAATAGTTATCAATATTGAATCATGATTTGTTCTTTGGTGTTGACGCCGTGGTATGTATTGTTTCATTCTTTTACGGAGGAAATAACATTGTTGTGATAATAGTTCACAGGTGTGGCAGTCTATAATTACCTACTGCCACCTTGACTTTATTGTAACATTAAACTGAACACGTATTAATCGATAATTCAATTTCA